TGGAATAAATTATTAAAGTAAATGATAATCTTCTTTTAATGAGTTATTTTTTTAATGCAATAACATTACACAATTTTACAATGTGTACTGTACCTTTGATGAAATAAATGCAGTCTCGGTGAGGAGGAGAAGCTTATTTTAAAACATTTAAAAATCCTACTGACCCCACACTTTTGACTGATAGTGTATGAGATGTTTCTAGTGCTGCATTTGATGGCTGTAACACACTCCACAAAGTTGTGACAAAGGCAAACATAAAACTGTAAAAAGTTATATCATAAAAGTCCACATTTAAGAAAATGATTTGATTTATGGCCCATAATTTGTGAAAAAAATAAAATAAGGCTGCACGGTGGTGCAGTTGATAGCATGATCACCTTACAGCAAGAAGGTTGCTGGTTCGAACCTCAGCTGGGTCAGTTGCCGATTCGTGAGTTTGCATTTTCTCCCTGTGTTCGTGTGGGTTTCCTCTGGGTGCTCCGGTTTCCCCCAGAAGTTCAAAAACATGTTGTATAGGGAAATGCGTGTGTATGGATGTTTCCCAGTGATGGGTTGCAGCTGGAAGGGCATTCGCTGTGTAAAACATATGCTGGATAATTTGGTGGTTCATTCCGCTGTGGCAACCCCAGATTAATAAAGGAACTAAGCCAAAAGAAAATGAATGAATAAAATGAAACAAAATAAAACCATTCTCAATGCAAAATTACACATACTTTTGGATTTTCACCAACTACTTTTGCTAATACAACAACTATAGTAATATGCAAGTTTTCTACAACTAAGGGGTGTATTTGTTGGCTATATTTGTTTACCCTTTGCCATTAGATGAGGTGTGAGAAATTTAGTTATTAACAGTGTTGGTTGTAACATATTTAAACACATTAAGTAGCACAAATTAGTTAGTATGATTAATCAGATTACTTTTTAAAAGTTACTAATAAAGTAATGTATTTCCAAGAATATATTAACTAAAAAAAAAAAAAAGTCCAAAAAGGGTAATTTTCCATCCAGCTTTCATCTGCCTGAGGTTTACCCCCTTCACATTTTACTTTTTGGTAAAAAAGGGCTGTGCATTTTTTTCATCAGTTGATATTATTATTATTATTATTATTATTATTATTATTATAAATGTATTCATGTATTAATTTATTTACTAGTTTATTTATTGATTTATTAATTTATTATGATTATTACTATTATTATTCTTGTTATTATTATTAGTAAAAGTAGTTTTAGTAGTAAGGCAAGGCAAGTTTATTTATATAACACATTTCATAAACAATGGTAATTTAAAATACTTTACATAAACAGGAATAAAAGAGACAGGAAAATAATTTTTTTTAAAAAAATTAAAACCGATAAAAACAGATTAAAATGTGTTAAAATGTTTTTGTCATGATCCCCAGCAATCTAAAAACCATGGATCGCTGGAAAATAAGCACTATAAATAACAGACTACAAGTCCTCCATTTCATGGACTAAAACTCCATACATGCACTCTGCTCACACACACGTTCCTGATCCTGACTTATTGCATCCATACCACCGGAGGATTGTCAAGGACTGATGTGCTGTAGAACGGAGTGATGGTAATGTCAGGATCAGGAACGTGTGTGTGAGCGGAGTGCATGTATAGTCCATGAAATGTCAGATTTGTAGTCTATTAGCGATAGTGCATGTTTTCCAGTGATCTATGGTGTTTAGATTGCTGGGGATTGTGACAGTTTTAAAGGAATGAAAAAGAAAAGAAGAACATAATATTTCGATTTGTGAGATGTAGCACAGCAGTGCTTATTTAGTTAAGGCACAGCTAACAGATGTGTTTTCAGTCTTGATGTGAGTGTGCCTAATGTTGGAGCACATCTGATCATTTTTGGAAGCTGATTTTAGCAGTGGGGTGCGTAGTAGCTGAAGGCCGATTCACCCTGTTTTGACTGATCTCTAATTTAGTTGTAACAAGCAAGCCTAGCCCAAATGAAAAATGTAATGCAAAAATGGTAAGATATTACTTTCCTTTTTAGTCTGTATATTACTTTTAAAAGTAACATTCTTCAACACCAGTCTCAATCTGCATGTGCTACTGCAGGATGGTTTCATAGGTACAGAGTGAATGTGCTTGACTGGTCTGCCTGCAGTCTCAAATGGAATATTTCTGGCCCATCATGAAGATCAGACATTGACAGCCACCGACCGTTGAGCGGCCCACTGGGCAAACGTTAACAGTTAATAAACTCAATTCCCAAACATTCCCAAAACTTGAAATAAAAGGAAAGTTGATATAACACCATGTTAAATATCCCTCTGTCCCAATATTTTTGGAGTGTGTTTGAAATTAAATTTGTAGATATACAATTCATTTGGTCAGTAAAAATGAAAATATTTTCTTTGTACAGTTGTCAAAAGCACATGTTGACTTTACAACACTTTATAAAGTGTCCAGCTTTTTTGGAATTTGTGTCATTTTGTTGCCAGAAGTTGTTTTTTTGGTGTAAATAGTTTTATTTTGGGGTTTTATTTCAGTCTCTTGTTTACGTCTGCTTTAGCCTGAAGAGATTATTTATCCTGAATGGGGCTAATATCTCAGTTCATTCCCTTAATCACTGTCTCTCGGATGGGGGCTTTAGCCCAAGAAATCTTGGCGTGTGGGGAGGGTTGAGGACAGTTGCAATAGAAATAAACTCTCATTTCCTGCAGTCATGGGAATATGACCCCACCTTAAGCCCCTCTGCATGTGCTACAAATCCTTCTGGTCTTCTGTGTCTCTCTGGACATCTCAACAGCATTTTTAATTGGAACTTTGTTAGGAAATGGGAATTGGTTATTTTTTTTTTTTTCTGTCAATTTTTCCCCCAGTTTTTTTAATGTTATATTTATTGTATTTTTGTTTGTTTTAAAGCACAAAGAAAACACATAAGCGACAAGTAACAAAACAAACACAAAGAAAATAAATAAGAAAAGTTTTTTTAATTCACCTATAGATCATTTTAATGTGGTGATGCTATTGGCCCGTGAACATTTCCTGCTTGTTATCAAACTATTTTAATAATTAAAAATAATTAAAATAAAAGGTGAGAGATGTAGTTATTTTACTTCTCTAAAGTTAAAGAAATCAACAATAAGGAAATAAGTAGACCATTTTAGTTATGATAAAACAAAGTTGAAGCAACATCACAAAATATGAAAAATGAGCAATAATTCTGAGTGATGATTGGCCGCTGGAGAGTATGCAGTGACATCATCAGATTTTGAGCATTTCTCCACATTTATTTACAAGAAGGAATTGGTTCAATCGAGTCGCCACACACTATTATGAATGAGATTTCATTTTATCTCCTTCATAATATAATAATTTCATTATTATGCATGAAATTGATAAGATGAATCTAGATTTGATTCTTCTGTCTTCCCTCATTGTAAACATTCAGAGACACGATTCAGACCAGACTATTATGTCTGTCATTTGGAGGCACAACAAAAAGCCACACATTTACCAACACACACACATGCACACACACACACACACACACACACACACACACACACACACACACACACACACACACACACACACACACACACACACACACACACACACACACACCTGGAGGGGGTTTTATGCCCAACTAGGTTATTGGTTTGAGTTTTAAACCAGTAAGCTGAACCAAAACCTCAAGTTTACGAAAACACCCAGACAAATGTGTTTTAGTTCAGCCATGTTTTCAGTTCAAAATTCAGAAAGATTACTCTTTCTCTGGCACATTTAATGATGTAGTTGAGACTGTTTAACTGACCAGGAAGTGCGTTTGATTCCAATTTTGTCTTACCACCTTCACGAAGGTTGTGCTAAATAAATGTGTTTTAAGTTTGGAAACAAAAGACTTGTTACATGTTTCTGTTTTAGCGTTTTTTTGTTTGTGTGCAACTCATTTTTGTATGTGTAGAAATGTGTGATAAACCTTGTATTCTATAAGCATTGGAATTTTATACATTACCATTTTTATCTTTGGGCTCATTAAGTTTATGTGTAATTTACTTATATATTCATTTATTTTTAGAGAGAGAGAGAGAGAGTTCCATTTAACAAGATAGAAAGCTAATTCAAGAAGAGCTGAATAAATTGATTGACATTTTGTAAACACAATGGATTATATTATTCATTTCTTTCTTGTCGGCTTACTCCCTTTATTATGCCGGGGTCGCCACAGCGGAATGAACCGCCAACTTATCCAGCAAGTTTTTACGCAGCGGATGGTCTTCCAGCCGCAACCTATCTCTGGAAAAGGATTTTATTATATTATATTCTATTATATTCTATTCTATTCTATTATATTATATTATATTATATTATATTATATTATATTATATTCTATTATATTATATTATATTATATTATATTATATTATATTGTTATATTATATTGTTATATTATATTATATTATATTATATTGTTATATTATATTATATTATATTAAATTATATTATATTATATTATATTATATTATATTATATTATATTATATTATATTATATTATATTATATTATATCATTCAATTTCTTTTTGACTTAGTCCCTTTAATAATCTGGGGTCGCCACAGCTGAATGAATCGCCAACTTATTCAGCATGTTTTTACACAGCGGATGCCCTTCCAGCCGCAACCCATCTCTGGGAAACATCCATACACACTCATTCACACACATACACTAAGGAAAATTTAGCCTACCTAATTCACCTGTATTGCATGTCTTTGGACTGTGGGGAAAACCGGAGCACCCGGAGGAAACGACCCCAGATTAATAAAGGAAAATGAGATGAATAATATTTGACACTTTTATTTTACTTTGTTTTCAATCAAACTAATGCAGCCTTGCTGATTATAGACTGAATCTTGTCATTTGTTCCTCAAACTACATTTTGTGTTTTTTTTATTTGTGCAATGTAAAAATGACTTTTTTTCTATGGGTCTTATTTATAACAGAAACCCTGTTCTTTTCTTCTACAGAGATTCGTAAGAGGAGGAAATCACTACGGAGAAAATTTGACTCCTTCTCCAAAGAAAAGAAAGATCGAGGTAAGGGCATTATTTTTTTTTCAAATTTCACATAATAGATAATAACGAAGAAAGAAAAAAAAAAGTTTTGTCTTTGTGATCTGTTATATCGAGTTCAGACTGCATGATTTTAGCCCAGATTTTGACTCAACGACAAGTTTTGTGAAATTGCTGACAAAGGCCTAAAATCACAGGCAAATCACTGCTCGTTCACGTGAGTAACAATTACACAGTGTGAACTATTATAACGCGATCTGAGAAAATTGCCAATGAGTCGCTGACACCCATGGCACAACTAGCATGCTATATTTCTGGAGCTGTCTGTGATTCAAACTCATGCCGTGTGAAATGTAATCTGATTGAAAATAACATCGGCGAGTATCTACAGCCAATAAGAGAGAAGCATCCATTAGTATGGGTATCTGAAGGCCAGCGGGAGGATGAGGGAGAAGTTAAAAGTTCTTCTTTTCAGTCTGTAAATTTGGCAGGAGCACCTGTGTCTGTTTGACGTGTCAGCTGAGCAATATCACAACCAGGTCCAAAACGAAAAAAGTTTAACAGAAATTGCTAATTCCTTTTAAAACAATAAGAGCAAAATAAGTAAATTTTGTACCCAATTAAAGTCTTCTTTCTCATTATAAAGTTAATAACACACGATGTACTACATGATCTCATATTGTTTCCATGTCACTTCTCCCATGTGTTTGGTTTGTGAGATGTAGTTCGCAGACTGAGACAAAGTCTCAGCAATTTTTCCTATTGTAAAGTCATGCAGTTTGAAACCTCCTGTCACCAATCCATCTTGCAGTGTAAACACAACAGTGACAGAACGCTTGCCCAGATAGTCATGCAGTGTGAGAACATCTGTGACAGGACTACTTAAAAAATCGTTCAGTCTGAACTATTAAATAATAATTAAATAATAAAGTGTCTTTGCATCTACCAACAGCCACATACTGTAGTTATTTAACTGCATGATTAGCAAACTAGTCTGGCTCCATTCTGTTATATAATGGTCACTTTTCGTGAGAGATAAAATCTGTCCCACCCTCCATTTTTCTTGTTGAATATCTAACTTTTAAATGTCACATTAGAGCAGTACCATGGGCTGAGAATGGCGATTTTTACTGTCTTTAAGTGTCCTGTGTTTGTCAGGCAGCATTCCTGAACCCTTTGGTCTTCTCGTCTTCTTTTCACAAACAACCACCAGCACATACAATGCACTCAGTCAGAGAGTTTCTCAAAAGCATCATGAGGTTAATAAGATCTGAGATTCACTGCCGCCAATGCTCTGTACAATCATCTTCGATTACAATGCTTTTTGAAAAACACAGCACAGGTCTGTTTTTTAGATTAATTTAAACCACAAACTAATGACAGTGGAACTGCATTTCACATTTCATCCAGATGTCAGCTTACGTAACTCTATCTGTCTTTCTGATGTCCTCGTTAAACCATTACTACTGCACTACTAAACATCTTTCTTTGGTGAACCCTGATGGTAGAATAGAGACTTATAAAAGGCTTTTCCTTCTCTGAATCCTTTGACTCTGATTGCCAAGACACAGTTCTTGCAAATCTCTTATAGTCCTTTAAGACACACAGCTTTAAGACTTTAAGACGCAGGACTCTTCACATCTAATGTAGCTTTACTCCCAACAATCTGTGCATTCCTTCCAATCTTAGCTTTCTGTTTATTCAACATTGATTTTTAAAGGCTAGAATCCTGGATTTTGACTCACAGTTGGGGGCAAAACTATTAGCCCTCCTGTACAATATTTATTCTTTTACAAATATCAAGAATCAAAGGATATTTAATCGAGCAAATTTTCACAGTATTTTTTACAATATTTTTTCTTCTGAAGAAAGTCTTATTTGCTTTATTTAGGCTAGAATAAAAACTATTTTCTTTTTTTAAGAACAATTTTAAGGTCAAAATTATTAGCCCCCTTAAGCAATATTTGTTTTTATTGGCTACAGAGCAAACCATTTTTATACAATGACTTGCCTACCCTGTATTGCCTAGTTAACCTAAATAACCTATTTAAGCCTTTAAATGTCACTTTAAGCTGAATACAAGAATCTTGAAAAATATATCGTCAAATATTATATGCTGTCATCGTGGCAAATATAGAAGAAATCAGTTAGAAGTTAGTTTTTACAACTATTATGCTTGGAAATGTGTTGCAAAAATCTGCTGATTCAGTGAAAAAAAGAAAACCCATATTCAAATGTTTTAATGCAAATTAAATTTTAGATGTGCTGACCTTTTAATGGGGTGGTCCACTACGATATCATATTTTAAACTTTAGTTGATGTGTAATGTAGCTGTGTTAACATAAACAACATCATTGAATGTAAGACGCTCAACGTTTAAAGCAAATGGAGACATTGGATTTTACAGAGTTAGCTCAGCAAAACCTACAGGGAACGAAGTTAGGGGACTACAAAAAAAGTACATCCAGGCTAGTGTAGTGAGATCACAAACGCTTCAGGTTACATGCATTCACCATGCGCAAATACCCAGCGCCCAAACGCTGCTATTTCCACAGAGCTTCTTCTGTGTCTGTATTTGGGCTTCCAAAGGACACGACACAAAGAGAGAAGTGTTTAAAGTTTAATGTAATTACGTTCCAGAGAATTATATTAAATATACAGCTCTAGCATTTGACAAAGGACTGCTTTTAGAATCTCTCCCAGTTCAGTGGGAGAGCTAAAAAACGGCTAAAAAACTCCGTAAAGAAGAGGCAGCTCCAACCATAATTGTAGAAGCTGTGGATTGTGAGCCACAACCTGTGTTTTTATTTGTTAAAATTGATCTATTACATACTTCGTTTCTAACATTAATGGCATGTTGTAGCGAGGACATAAACAAGGATGTAAACAATGGGAAATGCTGTTTGGCGCTGTAAACAATTTAGCTACAAATTCATATTTATCAGTCTAACTGCTGTAAACAGCCACAATCTTCAGCAGCGCTGCAGTGTCTCTCTATGTGGCCACTTTTCCTGCGTTCTACATCTCAAATAACTCGTAAAACAAATGTGAACATTTCATAATACTTACACTGCTTATAACCCAAATATATATGAAAGACCCTTGTCAGATTTTTAGTTTAGAGAACAGACTTGAGGTTTAGCTGTGTGCTCTTCTTTTCTGTCTGATTCAGGTTCAAACTGATATGGCTAACAGCTAAACTGACTGACAGTGTTTACACAGTGCAAAAGGATATTATGTTAACTGACCAATCAGAGCCTCCTGAGGGCAGGCTTTTCAGAGAAACTAGGAAATATGACATTGGTTTTCATGTTAGCAGAGTGGCTGTATATAATCAAAGTAAAATATTTGAAAAAGAACAGGATTTTTTAAAGTGAAGCATGGGCACACATTGCTTTGCATCTTATAAACAAAACCAAGTCTTAAAAATGCACTCTGGACCACCCCTTTAAAAAGTTTGAGGAAGCTAAGATTTAGGTTTATGGTATAGTATTGCGTGAATATAATGGTTCCGGAAAAATCTATGTAAAATATTTTATATTCCTGTGAAGACAAAGCTTTCATCATCATTACTCCAGCCTTGAGTTCAGACTGCAGGAATTACCATATAAGGATTTGTTGCTTAATAAACATTTCTTGTTACATCAGTACAGTTTTCATATTTTCAACAGTTTTTACTTGTTTTCATCCACCTTTTTTATACAAAGAAAAAACTTTTCTTTGGACAGAAAAAACTCATTATTTGCTTATGAGTATGAGTTATGCATAGAGTTATTATTATTATTATTATTATTATTATTATTATTATTATTATTATTATTATTATTATTATTATTATTATTATTATTGCCATAATAACATATGTGCATAAACAACAATGGAAATACATTAAACAATTCATATCTTATATTTAATAAAATTTAAATAATCTTTCTGAAGCGATTTTACATTGTAGATTGTGTCAAAGCAGCTTAACATAGAAGATGATAAACTGAAACTCTGTCAGTTCAGTTTTCAGAGTTGAGGCTCAGTTTAGTTTAGTTCAGTGTGGTTTAATTTTCACTGCTGAAAGTCCAAACACTGAAAAGCAAATCCCAAGTCCCAAATCAAGCAAACCAGTGGCAAGGAACAAACTTCACCAATTGATGAAAATGAATCAAGAAAGGGATTTTATCTCAGGACATTTGGTCTCACATAACTGGATTAACCAACACAGGGAACACAGAGCGTTAGTGTGGGTTTTCTCCGTGTGCTCCGGCTTCCCCTACATTCCAAAGAAATGTGCTATAAGTCAAATGAGAGTGAGTGGGTATTTGAGTAATTGGTGGTTCATTCCGCTGTGGTGACCCCTGATAAACCAGATACTATGCTAAAGGATAGTGAATGAGTTCTCTTTCAAAACTGTCTCACACATCTGCAGCTTGAGGTGCAGCTCACTTTATTATGGGGGACAAGAGCCTGGTAATTTATTGGAAAAACATTCCAACATTCATTTTCTTTTTGGCTTAGTCCCTTTATTAATCTGGGGTGGCCACAGTGGAATGAACCACCAACTTATCTAGTATATGTTTTATGCAGCAGATGCCCTTTTAGCTGCAACCCATCACTGAGAAACACCCATACACTCTCATTCACACACATACACTACGGCCAATTTAGCTCACCCAATTCACCCATACCGCATGTCTTTGGACTGTGAGCCAACATGGGGAGAACATGCAAACTCCACACAGAAATGCCAACTTTTCCAGCCAGGACTAGAACCAGCAACCTTCCTGCTGTAAGGCGACAGCGCTACCCACTGCCATTTATTTTCTTGAGTTAATAGGATGCTTTAAAGCTTTATTTGTAAAAAAAAAAAAAAAAAAAAAAAAATATATATATATATATATATATATATATATATATATATATATATATATATATATATATATATATATATATATATATAGGTTATAAACACATACAGTTGAAGTCAGAATTATTAGCCCCCCTTTGATTTTTTCTTTTCTTTTTTAAATATT